ATTCTCTGAGTGAGAGACAGAATTATCAAGGGAAAGCGCCAAGCCATTACGACTATATAGCACTGGTAAGGGGGATCAGGATTTAGGATGGGACGGGGGGAAGGAATGGTGCCCTACCACTTGGACGGTCGGGGATTGAACGCCGACCTGCACGAAGCGAGACCGTCGCTCTACCGTCCAGCCCAAGTGGTTGGTTAAATGAGTTGAAATTCAAGTATTTTTTTACGACATCGTTTAGTCCGTTCCAGGTATTTACGACTCTGAGAAAGACAAATTAATTTCTAACATCTCTGTGACTCAGATTCCCAGTTTCCAATTGTGTCTTCTTGTTCTACTGTTCTTGTTCTACTGTTCTTGTTCTACTGTTCTTGTTCTACTGTTCTTGTTCTACTGTTCTTGTTCTACTGTTCTTGTTCTACTGTTCTTGTTCTACTGTTCCCCTGATTTGAACTTTACTTCTATATCTACCTTGTCAATATCCACCTAGTATCTTGTAGGTCGTTATCATGTCTGTTCTATTTCTTCTTTCCTTCAGTGTAGTGAGATCCAGTTCCCTCAGTCGTTCTTCATAGCTCAGTCCCCTTAGTTCAGGAACGAGCCTCGTTGCATATTTTTGGACTTTTCCTAATTTTGTTTCGTGCCCCTTAAGGAAGGGGGGTTCCATGCCGGGGCAGCATACTCAAGGACAGGTCTCACTAAGGCTGTATGCAGTGCTCGGAAGGGATCTTTGTGTTACTGAAGGATAACGGGACGTTTGCCAGCATATGCTGCCCTCGTTATCCTGCTGATGAGTGCCTCTGGTGTTAGGTCTCTTGTTATCTCCATTTATAAGTCTTTCTCTTTTTCAGAAGTTGAAGTTGTCTTCCCGTCAAATATATATATATATATATATATATATATATATATATATATATATATATATATATATATATATATATATATATATGTCGTACCTAGTAGCCAGAACGCACTTCTCAGCCTACTATGCAAGGCCCGATTTGCCTAATAAGCCAAGTTTTCCTGAATTAATATATTTTCTCTATTTTTTTTCTTATGAAATGATAAACCTATCCATTTCATTATGTATGAGGTAAAAAAAAAATTATTAGAGTTAAAATTAACGTAGATATATGACCGAACCTAACCAACCCTACCTAACCTAACCTAACCTATCTTTAGAGGTTAGGTTAGGTTAGGTAGCCGAAAAAGTTAGGTTAGGTTAGGCTAGGTAGGTTAGGTAGTCGAAAAACAATTAATTCATGAAAACTTGGCTTATTAGGCAAATTGGGCCTTGCATAGTAGGCTGAGAAGTGGGTTCTGGCTACTAGGTACGACATATATATATATATATATACGAACAAATGAAAGTCTACGGTATTGTTCTGCCGTGTTTCAATACATCGTTTCCCACGGCACAAAATATACCAAAGAAACATTAATCAATTACAACAGCAAAAGATATCCACAATACCTAATTTGCTTTAGAACCTCGACGAACATATTTAGAACCCCAAGACCCGACCATTGTATATGTTGACAGGACCTCGCGTCCACCTCACAGAGAGAGAGAGAGAGAGTCCTACACAGAGTTCAGCCTTTTCTAATCTGCAGGTCTTAAGAGTCAGACTTTGAGTGCTTTGATCTGCTACTCTTCCAGGTACCTGGTGTTGGGGGTCAGTATTGCCATTTATATACTGTGTTAAGGAGTGGTTAAGAGGCTGGGGGTCTGCGAACTGTCTGATCTGAGCTGGGGTCTGCGAACTGTCTGATCTGAGCTGGGGTCTGCGAACTGTCTGATCTGAGCTGGGGTC